GTTGTTCGGGTTTTTTCATCTAACAAAAAGTGACATTAATTTCTTGATGACCTAATATATATATATAAAACACACACGAACATAAAGTTTTGTTTTGATTTATAGCTACTGAACTACATTTATCCAACAAAACAATTGGAATGGTTAAAAGGCCATGTCTGTAAGATCATCTTGGAGTTGTTTGAAGAGAAAAGGAATAGTCTTAGCTTTATTAAGGTAGGTGATCATGTACTATGTTTTTAATTTATAAATAGGACATTGGCTAGCACACATTTATTTTGTAGAGTAAACAAACGGTGTTACAGATTATATAACTGTTTACAATACACTGTCCTACCAAAAGTATCTCACTTTTTATTGGCAGGTATTTAGGTTTAAATAAACCAGGGGTGCTCAGAGATCAGCAGATTTTAGTTTTCCCCTGACATTCAACTTTAGAGGATGGGTGATGCTAGTGATTGCTAACCCAGAACAGTAGTGCACCATTTTTGAACAGTCATTCTTCCTTCCATTTCTACTCTGTACAGTCATTTTGATCCTGATTGTCTCCTTTGTCCTGAATTGTAGTTTACCTCACCTGTACTAGCCCCCTTGGAAGCAGTCAAAATTATAGTTTTTTCTGCCATAGGATTGCTTTTCTAACTCATATTCTTTTATGACAATTTTAATTATTTTCGTATCTCCTCCCATCAGATTTGTCATCTCTGTTTCTCTTTCCTCCATCGATTGACATTCTGTGGATGAGATACTGCGGGCAGGGGTGTGGATGATCCTTTATGTCACATTACTTATACCACATTGTAGTTTCATCTACCTCTAATTTTTGTCTCCATCCAGTTGTCATTCTTCAATCTTCACAGAGGCTCTAAAGAAATGTTGTTAATTATTTCGTTTTTACCCAGCTCCCACAACCACCTTATTATTTCTATATATTGATATTATGGAGATGATGGAAACCGCCCATGTGGCCAGTGTTGTCTTAGAGAAAATACTTCTGTCTCCTGAAAATCACATCAAGTAGGGGATGACAGTTCAACTCATCTTGCCTGCTTAGTGCTTGCTGTTGAGGTGAGGCTCTTTGCAAGATTGCATTGGCAGTAATATATATTTATTGGGGAGCATGCTAGATGGATCATAATACACATTCAAGATGTTTTTAGTAGCATTGGGAATTGGTTGAAGTATTAATATTTGATTCATCAGAATTTACTAATGACATTTTTTTATTTACTAATGAGTAGAAATAAAACATTGCAAGTTAGTTTTTTATTATCTGTATATATTATACTGTCCAGGATAACTTTGTAGCAAAGGAAAAACACACAAAAAATTAATGGCTTAAGCTTTGTGCACAAATATTTTATCAAAATCATTGGCTTTTATTTTGCACAATATGATTTTCAAGTGATAATCTCATTCTAGTTTTGTTTCAGATAAAATAAATTCTGAGACTTGTTTTAGGCCTTTAATTATCTAACAAAAGCTTAGCTTCGCTGGGCTTGGTGACTATTAACCAATGGGAGTACCCATTTTAATTATGTTTGATTCACAACAAGGTTGAGAAACAAGGATATAACAAATATTATTGACTTACACATTTTGGGGGATTTTTACTTACACTACTACTTGGACATCTGACTTTGGTTAGCTCCTTTCAAACAGGGGATCATGACATATTCGTATGCTTCTTACACGAGCAGCTCGGGTCGTTGTATTTTCCAATTGGGTAAGTTTTTTCTGTTACATACCTAACAATCTCTGCTATTTAGGAAATGTCATTTTAATTTCCCACCTCCATTGGGAACATCCTTTTTCCTCATTGAATCCATTCGATGGAGGTTTCTATTATCCACACCATTACAGTTCACTATCTTACAGCTAGTGAGGTTCTAATGCATTTAGGGATGTGACTTCTATGGATGCACTTTTCCCTTTTTGTCTGGCACATTTGTGATATTTTCTGAAGATGCTGCATGACCCATGGTCTCTTGCTAGGGTTAATTTGGATTCTTCTTTCAGCTTCCCTACTTCCCTCTTTGACTATATTCTTGGTGGTTGAACGTACCTTCCATCCCATTGGGGTTACCAATTCTTCCCTATCATCCGGATTTGTTTCTCTTCCCTGATGCTTATCTCAAAAGTTGGGGTGTGTGGGCTGATCAGCAGGAAGCTTCAAGACAATGGTCTATGGATGAAAGGTCTTACCATGTTAACACCCTAGCACTTCCGGCAGTCCATTGTGCTTTTGTTCACTTTCTTCCTCTTTTCAGGATTTAACTAAATGTGTTTCATTAATACTATTCAATGGTGGTGGCTTATATCACTCATCAAGGGTGCACTCATTCTTGTTCCCTTTGTGGTAGACAGTGGATCTCCCTTTTTTGAACCCATGCACACTTGACATATGTCTCCTGGCATGTCATGTTCCAGGTGCTTTCATCCTCATGGCAAATTGCCTTTCCAGTTCCATGGAGTGGCTTATCGTTCCTCAAGATTTCAGTGGCTCTGTCTTCTGTGGGGGTATTCCTCCACGGGAACCATTTGACTCCTTTCTCGATTCCATGTTACCTCTTTTGTTTTTGGTCTCCAGTTCATAATCCATTCACCCTGGCTGTCGATATGTTGAGACAGGATTAGATCCACTTTATAACTTTAGCTTTTTTTCTCATTCCATTACTCTTCTTCTAAAGGTAATTTTGATTATTCATTTCACTGTGGGTTAGGTCTTTCTAACTGATTCTTTCTGGCCAGCGCAGAATTGGTTTTCTTGGCTGTTTCAGCTTGATGTGTTCATTTTGTTCTGAATTGATTTTACTAACCCACACTTTGGGGCTCATGTGGAATATTCTTTTCATCATTTTCGTCTCTTGCCATCTTCCAACTTTTTGGTCGGATCCAGACATGCTCTGGGTTGCTTCATTGCTTCTTTTCATTGACTTCATTTCCCGCAGTTTCTTTCCCTTGCATCACTCCTCTGTTTGTGATTTTTTCCCCTTCCTCTCTTACTCATTGGAATCAGCTTGTGATTCGATTGGCCTTTTATTCCTTGTCTCCTTCTTCCCATAATCAATTCCTAATGTCTTCACTCCATTCAGGCACCATACCTTTTACCTGCATCTCAATCCTGCTGTCCTTTGGAGGAACTTTGTCTGTCAAGCACTGGGACTACATCTCATATGCTTATCTCTCATTATCTGCTTTGGGTACTGTTTCATCCTCATCGGGGTACTGACTTCCACCTGTTGCCATCCATCACTTTTCGGTGAGCCCTGTGGCAAGTGGTGCCTGTCCAGGTATATTTCAGTCACTTAGAATTGTACCAAAACTCACACTAAAAGCCAATGTTGACTTCACTTTCATAATTTCCATAGCCACAAAATGCACACTGTTCATTACAATCACATAAACTAGAGATAGGGTGTTCCACAAAATCACATGTAGGTTATTCCTTGTAATATCTTTGCTTCATAAATATATGCCAGTTCCAGACTGTACTAACCCATGGACTTTATGGTGATAGCAGAAGGACGGGATTGCTGCTTACCACTGCCATTCCTTAGATTGAATAAATCAGATTTGGTCTGCTTTTCAAAATAGAGTTTTTTGGTCTCCCATTGAAGTGTCTCTGGTGTGAATGTTCCTCCAGACTCCCACCGTGTTTGCTCCATCCCCTTTTTCTTCAATTGGAGTAAGAGAGTCCTTACCACTTTCCAGTTCCAAGCTGCTGGGGTGATGAACACCATGGAGGTATCCTCCTGAATGAGAGATATTCTTAATATAAACAATAAAGACTCCATTCAATTGAAAGTAGGGCAGTGGTGTTCTGCTGGTGTAGATGACGAGATGTTCTCCAAATGGATGCTCCATCTCTGCACGAGTTTGTTTGAGGCAGTGTTGTAGCTTTGGAGTGTGCTGTCATAATTATTGGGATCTCTCATCCTACCCCTGCATGGAAGTCTCTTCCCAGTGGTTGAGTTTTGGATTCAGAGCTGAAACAATCAACACAAATCCTTACATGTGTTCAGGATGCCTGGTCCCTCACTCAATTCGCCTGGAGTGCACTACCCCAGTGTTGTGGATCATGGTGGGTGCACTTGTTGGTTGCTCTGATTCTTTCTCTTGCACTACCCCTTGATGTCTTTATGGGGAGGATGTTACTGTGTTTGAGTTGGTTCTGGTTTGTTTGATATGAGTGGGATATACTTGTTATTTCACTCTGCTCACATGTGCCCTGTTTACAGATTGGTGGAATTCCTCCTATGATTGGCTGAACTTGAGGTGAAGACGGTATGATCCTCTTTCATACCCCTGCATAGATGTTGGTTCTCAACGATTGAGTTTTACAGTCTGTTGTGCTCTAGCCACTTTACCTACACCTTGGGGAATATCCCTTATTCACCCACATTTTGTTCATCAGGGAGATTGAAATTATGATATATTGTGGTTAGGATCACTGTCCAACTGTTTTCTCTCCCATTGGGATGTGCTACTCTCAATTTTCCACCCGGATGTTTCAACCTTTTCTACATCTGTGTGAGTAGTATACCTGGTACAAAAGTGGTGCAGTCTCCCATGTATAATTCAATTATTAGAGGCTTCCCTCATTAGGGTATCTTTCAGATGTTTTTGAAAGATGCTTTTACTTTCTCCCTCACACTGGTCCCTCCACCTATTCAATGTTGGATTCTAGTTATGTATGTGAGTGGAAGTAAGGCCTTGTTGGAAGTTATAATTTTCCTACACTGAAAATTTTTTTCTGACAGGTCCTTACTTCTGCTTACACTTCCCACTCTTCCACCTCGCTATCAACTGAATAGCATAGAGGGACTCATGTGTGTGGCACTACTATTGGTGGAGGTTTGTTGCATGATAATTTGCATACTAGAATAAGTTAAACCATATGAATCGAGGGTACATGGGAGTGAAAGGCTTGTGGCATGCAAAAAAAATTTTACAAATAAAGGGTAGCACTGAACAAGAATAGCTATTGTATGAGAGTGGAAGTATGTACCTGTTGGAAGTACATTTTGAGTGTAGAAAAATTATAACCTTCATTATAGACATGTGTCCTAAACTTGTTTATTTATGTGAGTGATTGTACAGTGATAAATAAGTGTGATGATATCATTAAGATCATATGACTTGAAGTTGTTGACTATTTGACCATATCTTGGTAAAGAGATAAACTTTTTTCCTAAACATGGATTTTCTTCTCAAGATATTTCATAAGACCAGAAGCTATTATTTACTAAAGAAAGTGTTTCCAGAGGATGATTGGTCTAAGTAGTTTGTTTTGTGAGCAGACCTTTGCATTTCATGGCTATAAAAAAATTTTAAGTTAAATGCCTCCTGATTCTGTCACCTCTTGAGTACTTTTCATGATGGTCAATACAGATTCATAATACTTTCTGAGTGAAGTTTTTCTTAAAGATGATGTAAATGTAGCAGTTTTTGAAGAACATCTTACACAACTTTTTACACCTTCACCAAGATCTGTACATAAAACCGGAACCACTGATGTTGCAAATTAATTCTTTGTCCAACATTAAACCTTTTAGATAATAATATTTACCCTCTGTCTTCCATACCAGTCATTACTTTAAATCTGATTAATGGTATTGTAACCTGGTAATTAAATAGAAATCCAGGTCAATTTCAAATAAATTTGAAATCTTAATGGAGCTGTCAAAAGGCTCAACAAACTGTTTTGACATCCTTTCGACTTCACGAGTTTGTTCACTATTTTCCTTTGTCAAATTATTTTCTTTGGTTCTTTTTCAGCTTTTGTGTTTGCTTGTATTGCTAAAATTATCACTTTTTGATGTATATTTGAAAGATGTAAATAGTATTAAAAATGTTCTAAGATTGGCTTTTGATTTGAACTTTTGTCATGTTGTGAATTGAAAACAATCTCTATTTATATCATAGTTACATAACCAAATTTGAACATTGTTATTTTTTGTTTGAACAGAATGGAAATATGAAGAACTTTAATAACACCCTGGAGCTTGTACCCTCAAGCTCAAGGTAAATATTTTCTTTTTCCCAAGTATTTGTTATTTGCACACCCAATAGAGAAATATAACTTTCTAATCAAACTGTAAATTAATTTTGTCTAGTTTCTTTTAAAATCAGGTAAAGAATATTACCCATAGAATTTATTGATAGCAAGTTTATGACAATTTAATCGTGATATCTTTTAAATATCTAATTACAAAGCATTAATGTTAGTAACTTGATGTAAAAAGGATTAATTTATAAAGTTACAAAACAGTACAATTAAATTTGCCATATTTTCCCCAGTACTTATATGATCATATATATTATTTAAAACAAAGCATATAATACTGTAAACATAAATATTATCTAGTATTACAGTAAGAAAAGTATTCACTTACTTGAAATATTCAGTGAAGAGGTAAATGAAAGCAAAATTGCAAGTTACATGAGACATACAGTTATGAATATAAATTATACTTGACAAACAGCTGAGTGTTAAGTGAAGTTATTTGGAACAGTTTTGGGTTTAAAGATATTTGAAAGTCATAAGAGCTGTATATTCTTTTGAAATAAATAAGTTTTATATATGCATGGGGTCAGTTCATTGGATCTATGCCCATATTGGAGAATTAATGTTTACTATAATTATGAAGCTACTATGTGTATCTTCACAAAATTTGACAAGCTTTCAGTAAATGTGAAATGTTTGTTATACACAAAACATCAGAATATTTAACAAAGTATTGTTACTAAAGATTTGTCTGTGAATTTTCTGAGTCAGTCTGGCTAGTCTAAGTAAGATAATTTTCATTTAAAAAAAAATATTTTTTTCCAAAAATACTTACCTCCTCTCACACTACAGCAATACTTGACTGCTAGGTTTCTTCTTTTGTCCATTTAAGCATTGGTCTGATTTTTTCTTGCTTGCTCGAGTCTTTTATTCCACACTTAATTGTCCTTGGCGATATTTGTCTCGTGAAACTCTCCATCTACTTCAGTGTGCCCTCTATCCTGGTTCTGTATGTAAGCACCTCATTCAGATAATGTTATGTTATCACTTTTTCTCGATAAAGCATTTGGGAACGAATTTCTCTGTACTGCGACTGTTACAGACTTTTTTGAGCAATTTTTGTGTCACCCAGTTGATTTTCTTTTAAAAGAAAAATTTTTATATATATATAAGTATATATATATATATATACAGCATGAATTATTGTCACCTCCATTCTTTAGGCCTGTGCACACACCATTATATGGATGACTTTTTACTCCTAGCACCATCTCATCAGATTCTCCTTTCACAAGCTACCAAGGCAAGCTTTATTATCAGAGCCGAGAAATCTATTTTCATTCTAACTCTACATATCGTCCATCTGGGTGTCTTTTTTTTCAACACATATATCAGTGGAGATCAGCCGACTCCCATCTGGCTCCATGCTATGGAACAAGCAGTCAAATTCTTACTCGTGTCTCCTTCTCCAACTGTGTGGATGGATCTTTCTCTTTTGGGGATGTGGGCATCACTCGAATCCCTCATTCCTTTGGGATGAGCATGCATGAGATCCCTTCAGTGGTTGCTGCACAACCAATGGATCACAAACAGCAATCCACTGGACCACCCAGTTTCCTTAGTCAGGGTCGACATCTTAGATCTTGAGTGGTGGTTAGATCAGAACAATACTATGATAGGTGTTCCTCTACCACCACCTCATCCCGAGATACATCTCTTCACAGATACCTCACTTCAGGAATGGGGTGCGTATATCAATGGTCAGGAATTCTAGGACTTATGGACGGATGATGAAACTTCCTTCCACATCAATGTTTTACAAATTCTTGCTGTTCAAAGGGTGATGTCTCAAATTCTGGAATTATTCAGAGGAAAATCATCAGGCTTCACAAATGACAATTCCAGGGTGGTGTCTTACATTTCCTGTCAAGGGGGCACTTGGTCACAAAATCTTTGTTTTCAAACATTGGATCTTCTTTATTGGGCTCACTTCCATCATTATCAGTCTACTGCCTTGCTAGGTTCCAGGGGTGCTGAATTTAATAGCAGATCAATTATCTCGACTGAACCTTGATTCTCCCGACTGAATAGATAGTACATTGTGAGGTTTTCCATTGGATTTAATCTTGGTTTGGGACACTGATGATCAATGCATTTGCCGCTCATTGAAACAATTAACTACGGGCATTTTGGTCCCCTGTACCTCATCCTCGGGCATTGGTGATAGATGCATTTAGTCAGGACTGGACATAATTGTACCATAGTCTATGCCTTCCCACTGATTCATCTGTTACCCAAAGTTCTGGGTATGGTTCGTTCAACTTCTTGTCATATGCTGTTGATAGCACTGGAATGGCTTAAACATGGTTTCTGCTTCTTTGGTACCTTCAAAAGTGCTCATCTCTGCTACTTCTTCTTTGGCCATCTCTGTTGAGGCAGCCATGATCCGACATCATACATCCAGATATCCCAAAGCTCAAGCTTCATGTATGGAAGTTATGCGGTCCTTCACATGGCATCAAGGCTTAACTTCTAAGGTTGCCATGTATCTGTTTCAGTCTCTACATAGTTCCATGATGGACATTTATCAAAGGAAATGGCAAACATATCGACAGTGATGTCTCTTGAGGAGATTGAACCCACTTTGTCCAGATGTGCCAGCCTTAGTTCGTTTTTTGACCAGGGTTTAGTATTTTCTGCAATCACCTTATATAAGGTGGCTTTATCGATTACCTTTAGATACTCAAAAAGACAGAAATTATTTGAGTCCCCAGTGCTCTCTGGCCCTCTCAAGTCTTTTCTGGTCCTTTTTGTCCCAAAAGACCTTTTAAATTATCTAACTGGGATATTAAGGTGGTATTACATGCTCTGTCTCAACATCTGTTTGAGCCCTTAGCTTCATGTATCACCTTTCTCTTAAAGTTTATTTTTTGTTGCCGCTGGCCTGTGAACATCGCCAGTCAGAGTTGGTTCAGCTGCCTGTGCATAGGACTCTTTATCATTCTATGTACATCCTTCTATACCCAGACAGATCCTTCCTATCTAAGACACTGGCAGCCAGGGAAGGGGATAAACCCTTCTCACTGATTCTTCTGACAACTATTTCTCATATCAAGCCTCAGTTAGGGCCCAGAAATGTTATATGCCTCACACTAATTCCTTTAAAAGTGATAGGCAACAACTTTTTATTCATTGGGATCCTTCAATTTCCTGTGATTTATCCCCAGTTACCTTACATATTCTGGGCTATCTTTGAAGGTGAAGAGACTTTGGTGAGTCATGTCTCATCTGATTTGTCACTTTTCTATATCCTTAGCAGCCTTGGTTGAATTACCTGCTGGAGGACATTGTGCAGGCTGGTATGTGGATCTTTCCCAATAGTTTTATCTCGCATTATTTGCATGATCTGGCATTATCTTCCTCTGAGGGATTTTGACTACACCTGTAGATATCTTGACCACATCAGTTAGATTATAAGCTGAGGTGAGTAATTTTACTGCTCCTCTTGTCTCTTCTTTATTTTACAGGGCTCTTACCTCTTTTTCACTGGATCCCACGCTGTGGTGAGTGTTGTCCAGGCAGCAGGTAGGTGTGATTTATCAAACCAATTCCACACCAGCAACCACTAACTCAATACCTTTTATCTAGGTTGCAACAGATTTTGTAGAAATGAGATGTTCCATAAGATCACCTAGGGGCTGTCTGGGTGATATTACTGTACTATTCTGGACTATCATAAGTATAAGGGGAACCATCCCATCCCTGCCAATCATTGGATTGAATAAGTCTGAGCCATTTTGCTTTTAAAAATTTAGGGAACTTGGTTTGCCTATTGCACTGTTTCCAGAGCACTGTTCCTCAGGACTTGCCACTGTGCATTACACCCAGATTCTACTAGTGGAGCTAGGGAGTCCTTACTACACCCGGTTTCCTGTCACTGGGGTGGTGGACAGAGGATTTTCCTCCAGAGTGTTAGAGTGAATTTCCTCCAGTCTTAGAGGTCCCTGGATGTTTTCTTAGATGTCGATAGAAGAGGCACTAGCCTATGCAGGAGCCTACTCGTTATACAAGTTCAAATTTGGTGCTCGGCTGTCCAATTGGGTTGAGTGTGGACCCTCTTTTTTTTATCAATATTGGTTCAGTACATTGTCCATGGAAGAGGGTCCATTGTCTTTTCGTAATTGTGTATGCAGAGTGGTCCGATTCCAGAGAGAAGAAGAATTTACCTTATCCACTCGAGTTGGGGGATAAAG